GAGGTACCTCATGAAGGAGTCTTTCAAAATGGAAGTGCCATTTCAGTTTTTGGAAATCAAAAACTTTGTGGGGGAATTCAGAAACTAGGACTCCCTTCCTGTGAGGTCACTCATGGCCTCAAGAAGAAAAAAGCAAAGTCTCTCCAATTGAAAGTGGTGATTTCAATAATTGCTTGTTGCTCCCTTCTTATGGTATCCTTTTTCATTATTTATTATTTGAAAAAAAAACCTACCAAAAGAGAAGTGTGTACCATGATGCAAGAGCAAGAACAATTTCCAAAGATTTCCTATGCAGAGTTGAGTCAAGCAACCAGTGAGTTCTCATCATCTAATTTGATAGGTAAAGGAAGTTTTGGCTCAGTCTACAAAGGAATTATGGGCCGAGATGGAATGTCATTGGCAGTGAAGGTGCTTCACCTTGAGCAGAAAGGAGCTTTCAAGAGTTTCATGGCAGAATGTGGAGCATTAAGAAACATTAGACATCGAAATGTGATCAAAATTGTAAGTGTTTGTTCAAGTGCAGACTACAAAGGTGCTGAATTCAAGGCTATCATTTATGAGTTCATGCAAAATGGAAGTTTAGAAGGGTGGCTACATCCAAATGAAGTTGCAGTTAAAGTGAAGAATTTGAACTTCATTCAAAGGTTGAATATAGCCATTGAAGTGGGATCTGCAACTGAATATCTACACTACGATTGCCAGCCAGCAATAGTTCATGGTGATCTTAAACCAAGCAACGTTCTACTTGATCATGACATGGTTGCACATGTAGCTGACTTTGGACTGTCAAGATTTCAATCTAAATGCATCCACAACAATGCATCCAAAAAACAAAGCAGTTCAATGGGAGTAAGAGGAACGGTTGGGTATGTGGCTCCAGGTATGATCCTTATTTTCTGTCAATCTTTTTATTTACACTGACATGAATTTTCCTTTACAAACATGATGAATATCAACAAATTTCAGAATATGGCATGGGAGGTAAGGCATCCATCTCGGGTGATGTTTACAGCTTTGGAATTATGTTGCTGGAGATGGTTACAGGGAAGCGACCCACTGATTTAATGTTCAAGGACTGTTTTACCATTCACCAGTTTACAAAAGCAGCACTACCTGAGAATGCGATGGATATTCTAGAGCCTTCATTACTGCAGGAGGTATATGATGCAGAAAAGTTAGGAAATAATGCAAGGAGAGTTGGTGTTCTGGAGTGCATAATAGCAGTTGCAAGAGTAGGAGTTATATGCTCTATGGAGTCTCCAAAGGAACGAATAGAGATGAAAAAAGCTGTTGCAGAACTTTGCGCCATTAAACAAGAGTTGCTTGGCAGCAAATGTTGATACCCATCTTATTCCTAATCAAGAAACCAAGTAAAACAATGATGAACGGAAGAGAGAGTAATCTTGTAGAATTGATTCTCTTCCTTTTCAATAATGATATGTAAAAGTAAATACCATCATTGATTTACATGGATTAATACTTCTATTGTAAAGGGCAAGATTAACTTGAAAATATCCAGAATATATTGCAGTTACTTTGATTCAATTATTCTAAGGGAAACAACAACTACAAGAGGTATCTGATTGCAAGAACGGTGAATTTAATTCGAAAATAACCCCAGTGGGTTTTTTTTATCAAGCTGAATTGATCAATACATGCTATGCTTCTAAAGTAATTTTTACTATTTAGGAGAAGCTAATCAATTCTTAAGTCTTGACTTCCGATCCTACAAATGCATCCAACTTGTCAGAGATGGAGAGCTGCTCTTCTGAACATCAACATGTTCAACTCTACAAGTGCAAATGATCCTGCACTTGAGAGCAAACCAGACTGATGATATATTTGGATCACACTGAAGATTTGTGTGCAAAACTGTGTGCTTTCTTTCAATTGGCACAGCCTAAAGATTCGTATACTACATTCAGAGGCAAGTAGAAATAGAGCTCCTATACTTCTCTGCAACTAGACATTTCCATCTGATGAAGGGAGGCTTCTATCCATTTTAACTGAAGTTGAAGATGATGTTGTTAGAGAATTGGTGCCTCTAGAAGGAGAAGAAGAAGGAATGGGTAGCTTCTTAGGCAGCATCTGTTGCCAATTAGGCAATCTTGATGCTTCTGAGAGAACGAAGAAAGCAAGAAGAGTCAAGAGCAAGCACTTGTCCCTCCAAGAACCTAACATGATGAATACTGATAGTCAGGAGATACCATGGAGAGCTCATCTCTTTAACTTTCACAGATAGCTTTAGAAGTTTAGTGGCAGCAGACATGTTGAGTAATGCAAGGAGAATGCCAACTGGGTTTGTTTAAGGAAAGGTGTGTCAATGGCAGACAATGGGGTATTTGAAAATTCTAAATTGCTGGAGTAGCTCATGTTGTTGCTCTCATTGCCTAATGGGAGGTAGGATCTGAGTGTGGGACATAGAAATTAAATATGTACATGCTTTCTAGGATACTTCATTTCCTAACTGAGTGACACAAATTAAGCAAGCACTCGCGTTCAGGGTTTGGCACCATAATATGGCACTAAAATCTCATATGGGTGATTGCTGGAAAGTTAAAGAAAACAAAATCAGTAAATGTCAGTACCTTTTGGTATCTCAAAACTTAAAAATTGCAGGACAGACTGGAGTATAATTATAAAATCAATTTGCAAGTCATAATTACTTTGGTAAACAACTTAGTAATTCTCTTTCTAATCTTAATACTTTTCCAGATTTTCCTGAAATTCCCAAACTTAGAAAATTGGTAAGTTCATGCATGTGTGCAGTGTGCTTACCATTCTTGTTCAACTAGAATATATCATCAAAAGAAAAAGTTGAACCAGCAAAAAAGTACCGGACCAGTTTCATGCCACCTTTTACAACCTTAATTATTGTACGCACACACACGAATGTACATATCTTTGAAAGTCAGACTCAATAAAGCATGTTCCTAATATCATATTAGCCAGTAAAGCTCTCAATAAATGGTTCCAAAACACCCCCATCCCCCAAATTTCCCACTAGTAAAAAAATAAATAAATAAATGGTTCCAAAACACCCCCACCTAAACCCCATCATTATTTTTCTTAAATAGCAATCATACCATTTCCAAATAGCGGTCACGTAACTAAACAAGCCTCTAAAAGACACAGGGAGTCCCTAACCCCACTGCCTGCTATTTTGCCAACAGAAAGAAAAATTTACCCTAACAGATGATGGTAACAACCCAACAGTGTCAGTAGAATATCCATATACTTGGTTAAAGAATACAATTAGTCTCTTATAATATTAAATTTGAATATTTTAACATCTCATTTTGTACTATAAAACCTTTAACCCCTTAATTTAAAAATTTAAAGATTTTAGTTCCTAAATTAACGCAATTTATTAATTTTTCATTAAAGTGAGAATAAAATATTTTTAAAATCAATTCTTAAGATTAAAAATATAATAATATAGTTCCAAAAAGTTTAAAAATAAAAAAAATAGTAAACTAAAAAAAATTAATGAATGACTATCTCACTTACATTAGAACAATATTAAATATATGTAATCAAATTAAGTGATTAGTTCAATTTGAAAAAAGAATTGTGATTGAGATTAAGATTGAAGAAAATTATTGGATGAATTAAGACAAAAAGTTCAAAAGATTAGAAGAATACAATAATTTTTTTTTAATTTCAATTAAATTTCTTTCTTCAATTTGATCTAATTGCTCAAATTTTCAATTTGATTATAAATATTTAATATTGTTCTTGTATATATGACGAAGTCATATATTAATTATTTTTAATTTTTTACTTTTTTTGAATTAAATTATTAAATTTTTAATGTTTAAGAACAAATCATGTAAATATTTTATTTTTACTTTAAAAGAGAATTAATAAATTCTATTAATTTATTAGTTATAATATTTAAATCTTTAAGTTTATGGATTAAAAATTTTATAATATAATGTAAGGGGGTTAAAAATTTTAAAATTAATATAGTAATGAACTAAATGTATACTTTAATATATATATTTTAACAAAAGGCCAGTGTACTGGCTCTAGAGGCGCCCATTGACCTCAAGCACATTGGGAGCCCGTGGACACAATGAAAGGTCGGGTCTAAAAGTGATTTTTCTAATTTTTTTTTTCTCTCTCTAATGCTTTTGCTACAAGGGTAAGCTTGGTTTTCATTCCTTGATCCTTACAAAAATGGGGTGGGTTGGGTTGGCCTAGTGGGCGAGAAAAACCAGGCCTCTTCTTCTTCTTGTTTAAACTTTTGTATAAGTCGAAAGAATGAGCCGAGTAAATTCCACAGAACTAAATATCAAAAATTGATGGCAAGAACCCAATAATCAATGAAAAAGAAGCTTCAATCAAAACAAAACGAAATAGATTTCTTTTGCCTTAAAAAATGGAGACGAAGCAACAATGAAAAGCAAGTTTATTTGAAATCAGCAGTGATTAGTGAGATAGGTTTCACCATCACATACTTAGATGTGCTGTGTGCTGGACAGACCTGTGACTATCTCAGAAACCAATCACGGCAGAGATCGAAAGCATGGAGTTGGGATGAGCCGATGGCACGGAGTGGCTGAATGGAAGGGAGTTGAGAGGGTAGGATGAACAAAGTTAGGAAGACAAAGCAACGGTTTTCTTTCCCTTTCCCTCCTCGGAATGGGTTATTAAGTACAACAAAAATGAAACAGTGGAAATCAACAGTTCTGTAATTCTGGCAAAAAGAAAGAACTAGCAATTGTTCATTTTTCTTTTTAGGATAGAAAATTGTGGAGGAAAGCCCAAAGGATTTGAATCCCGAAATGGGCAAGGAGAGATTTGAAACAAAATCACTATTTCTTGTTATATAATTCATCATTTAATGTATATTAAAAAAAAAAAACCATTTCATCCTATTCATGAAGAACAAGAATGACTTCAATTTTCATTCCATAATATGATGGTCTGATATTACAATCAAAAGTACACCAAGATAATAATCGAGGTAATAGGGTTTAAATTAATAATAAAACTATAATTTTACACTTAAACTATTTTCTAAATATTTTTAAATGCATGAGTAATAAAAGAATATACCATATACCTAACAAGTTATTGCCCCCAGTATGGCTAGAACTTTAGTTGATTCAAACTATAGCTGCTGTTACTGTTTCCGTTGCATTGGGACGCCAATATGTCTTGTGAAGGCAAATAAATCCCTCGTTGTTTTCTAAATAAGTTGTCCGGACCTCCCAGTTTAGAGAGTTAGCCATTCTTGTCACCTCCCTTATGGTGGCTGCATCGTCCCGTACAATCAACTTTCCCTCTGGTCTTAGAATTCTATCAACTTCTGCAAATACTGGAACTAAATTGCACCTGTGACCAGAATTTGTGAGCTAAAGTCAGAGCTGCCATTGACTATTGAAGCAACCTTGGTTTAGAGTAATTGGAGTAGGAAACAAACCTCTTTCTGATGCTGGAGAATAGATGGTCGGCATGGAGAAGATCATAAGATCTGGGATATGTATTAAATGATTCACACCAGTCATGATATATCCCAAACAAGCCACGTTCGTAGATTATTGGAAGTGTGTCAGCAGAATCTATTGGAACCACATTCATGACCCACACTTTCAAATCTTTTAAGGCCGCAGCAAACCTGTGAAGACAAAATGCAAAATCATTATGTGCATAAGAAAAAGGCATATGATGTTATATTCATCTAAATAAACTTAAATGCGAAGATGTTATAATTAAGTAGTCGAGAAGAATTAACATTTGTTCTAAATAAAATTATTTTTGTGGAAAATGGAGGAAAGGGTAGGTGGAAAGGGCATGGCTTGTAGTTGCTGTTTGCTCACTTATCTGATCGTGGCTTGAAAAATGTTGAACAAAAGTAAAAATTGATTACCCTCCATATACGGCTCTCATATCCATGACATTTCTAACGGAAGACCAGTTGATTCCAATCCCACTCAAATATGACTTGGAGACAACAGCTTTCCAGTGGTTGTAGTCTGCAACAAAATCCTCTGGAGCTGCTTTGCCATAAACACCATCCTGAGAATTTAACCAGTAAGGAGGCTCCTCCAGCCGTTGTGGCCATTGCTCAGGCAAATGTGATCCACGTGCTGATGCATCTACCGGCACTCTATGCATGCATGCCTGAAGAGGTACATTCCTGAAGATGTGAACCAGAGAGATTAACTTGGTCAATCACAAATTCACATTGCAAATATTCATTAGGAAAATCAGAGTCTCTTAGTCTCTATTTGACTACAGAAAGATACTTCGTTTAAAAACATGAATTTGCTAACATACAAATACACGGGGCGCCTTTGTTAATCATGCAAACCCTTTGTCAGTCATTGAATGATCCTTGCTTCTTCAACAATTTCAAGAAGTTTTAATTTCTTCATAGTTCATAGAGAAAACTAGTTTAAAGAAAATCACCTCCCTACACATCAATGTTTAAGTCACCTAAAGCAGCAGCTTAAGAAATAGGTTGGAAATAATTATTAACTTTCAGAAGTGTTCTCTCTTATCCAAATTGTTCACAATCAATACCCACAAAAGTGGAGATTGAAATACAGCACCTTGATTTTATATTTATTAAATATGGGACGCTGCTTTACTCTTAGTCTTACCATAAGCAGGCGACTATACTCAGCAAACTCTACCTCAGAAGAATTCAACATCATAAAAGCTGGTTTGGACAAAGATAAATTTTAAATGAATGACGTACCAGGCAGCATTGGGGTCATCGAATTCTTCACAAAGTGGAGGATCATTTTGATTCCTTTTGTCATAACACTCATTAGAAGTTGGTTTTCGGTATATTGCAGCACCAATACCATTCAGTTTGTCCTTTTGAATTGAAACCATATCCCAGCACATTTTCTTAGTTAGCCTGGACATCTCTGCCATCCACAACCACAATGACCAAAAAGAAAAGGATGTTAAAATGAATTAATAGGTTTATCTCTTGAAAAACACCTCAGTATTTTAGAAACAAAAGTCACCTTTCCAAATGCCAGCATCTTCTGGAAGCTTCCGGTAAACTGGAGTAGCAGACCAAACAAAGTAACCACCCGGTCGTAACACACGATTGAGCTCCAAGAGAAGTTTGCCACCTGGATGCCTCGAAATGTATCTCCAGATGAGAAACAAATATAAGGTAGACTAAAAAAGTAGGAAAAAAAATATTAATGCAGCTTCACCTTCAATATGCCAAGGAACTCTGCAACGTGCACAGTGAACAAGATCAAATATTGAGCTGGGGAAAGGTAGCCTCTTGGTGCCCATAACAGATAACATGGCAGGGATTCCCCGTTCAAGTGCAAACTGTACTTGAGCTTCATGCTCATCTTTAGGAGCAAATGACATTGCAAGAACATCTCTTTCAAAAAGATAACCTCCAAAACTAGCCACCCCACACCCAACATCGAGTATCACACGGCTTCTTTTCCCCCAGGCAATTTCAGGAACAGACTGCACCAAAGATGCAAGTATGTTATGATTATTAACAGACTTAGAAATGAAACACAGGGCGGTTAGATGACCAGGCCAGAATAAAAGAAAAAATAATGGACTAATGGAGTAAAAACACAAGCAATAAAGGTTGCCACGAAAGTTTCCAAGAAAATCAACCATGTCAATGTCATAAAAAATTTTAAAATATCTTGCGTCACCAGGCAAGAATGGAATTATTTTAAGATTGCACACCATTCAGTCTTGTGCTTCATTAGGCAAAATGGGATATCAAATAATGACATCACCCGGTTGCCCAAAATTATGCATAGACATGACTGAAGCAATGATTACTAATTACCTGTTAAACAGTTAAACGGTCCATGATTATGCATGGATGGGGCGTGTGTGTGTGAAGAGGAGGACATGGATATTGCATAAGCAGAAAAACTGAAGTGGTTTGTGCTGCTCACATTGCAGCCTTGTCTTATTGACATAAAGATGAATGCAAAATGTTACAGGACACATCAAATACTTGGAATTAGACAAGAATGCCCTGCTTTTGCCTTCCAAAGTATAATCCAGAAAGTTGCTTGTGAAATGAAGGGAATATGCAAGCATTGATACCAAAGGGACATTAAAAAAA